ACACACACACACACACACACACACACACACACACATATATATATATATATATATATATATAAAAAAAACCAGCACTCTGAAAGTGGAAAATCCTCAGAATGAGGGATTTTACAATTCCACCGTGCCACTGCATAAAGACAGCTCGGTGATGATCTTTTCCTTCCCATCAACGGGCACCCCTTGGTGCTAAAGGTGATGGCAACCCTTGCCCTTACCTGCCAAGACGCTGGCGATCAAGTCATCTCTCTGCCCTAGGGAGTTGCGAGAAGAGGAAGAGGAAGAGGAAGAAAAGGAATCAGCATTCAGTGGGGAAAACAGGCATCAGAGCCTTCTAAAAGCCTGATCTCAAAATTGGAAAAGAGCAGGGGCGCATTCTTCATCCCCCCCGCCCATGCCAGCAGCCAACTGGAATTTTGCAGAGGGCAGAAATGTCTCAACTCAGCCTGGCGCATCCTCCTCTTTCAGCCCTTACCTTGACTGGGCACGATGCTGGGGCTCCGAGTTGGGGGCAGCACATCTGGGAGGGGCTTCTGGACCTCTCGGGCCGGCCCCGTGGTTGCGCAGGAGGGGGTCCTCATCAGGGCCTCCCGCGGCTTCTCTACGTTCTCCTGCAAAAAAGAGGGGGGGAGCGAAGTTGTGCCTTCCAGCCCTTTCAAACGCCGCCTCCCTCCCCGCCACCCCGACTAAATCTGCAATGCTGGGGTCGTATCGTCCAAAGGTGGACCCCTTGACTTAAGGGGAGAATGCCCCTGGATTTCCACCCCTGCAACCTGTCTGCCTCGATGTGCTTCCCTCCCCTTCCTTCCCACCCCAGGAGACCTCACCTCGCTCTCCACCATCAGAGCGGCCAACTGCTTGGCCCGCTGATCCATTAAGCTGACGTGCTTAATTGGATTGATCAAGGCCTCGGCGTAATCTGCGGAGGGAAGAAAGAGAGCCCTAAGTCCTCCAAAGGGGGCTGTATGGCACAGCCAGGCGAGCCTCAGATGGGGATTGCCAGAGAACCCAGTTCAAATCTTCAGGCGCTTGCTTCCTCTGTTGCATACCCCCACACCCCCGTGTCTAATCTACCATGAGAAAGAGAATGGACTGTAAATCATCCTCTCGATTCCAAGTTGCTGCAGTCTGGTGATAATCCTCTTGGCCAATTCTCTTAAAAGGAGGTAATGGTTAGCAGACGCTCAGGTTCCTGATATGCTAAGTGCTGAAGCAAGAAGCTTTGGGAGAACGCTTTCGCCACCTGATCTGCTCCTCAGCCACAGTCAGAATCAGGATGCTGAGTTAGACACTGAGCAACCTTCCCATAATTTCTGACTCTCAGCTAGCAGATATCTGAGCATCTGTAGTGGGAAGAGGGAATGGCCTTGAGGGACAGGAGGAAGCGCTGCTACAAAGGCGACGGTCAGATAAAAGAAATCTGAGTCCAGGCAAGAACTGTAACTTGAGAAAGACCCTCCCTTGTTCTCATGAAGATAGAGAGAGGGAGGGGGGAAGCGCATTCAGACTTAATTCTGTTATAACAGCTCTATAATGGAAGTAGGATTAGACTGCATGATTTTGGTTTGCTAGTCTGGTCTACCTCGAAGGGCTGACAGCAGCACTGTTTCCCCATCCTGGTCTCCACCCTCCCAGAAGGGACCCCCCCCCTTCCCCAAGCCATTACTTTGATGATCATCAGGAATATAGTCGTAAGCTTCTGTATTGACCAGCAGGGCTGGGAGACACAGGGGCTGGTTGCTCTCGCTGCGCAGAGAAATATAGTGGTACCCTGAGAAACAAAAGACAACATGCACACAAAAGATCAGCGCATAAATGTTAAGACAGGGTAGGAAATCAGCCCAGATCTTTGAACAGAGAGAAGAACTCAGAGCTCTGGTCCTGATTTCCAGCATCTCCAGATAAATAGCTAAATAAAAAGTAGAATCTGATGCAATGGAATAATTTTTTTTTCCTCCCCACAATTCTGGAGGGCTCCTGCCAGCCAGGGCGGCTGGATGGAGATAGTTTGAGCCAGTCTGGGCTAAGAAAGAAAGCCAGTTTGGGGTACTTTGGGGAAATTGGGTGATGAGGAGTTCTAGCCCTGCCTTAGCCACAGAAGCCAGCTGGGGGACCTTGGGCCGTGTTTCTTTCTCAGCTCAACCCACTTCACAGGGTTGTTGTTCTGGGGAAACAAAGAGGCAGGAGCATTAGAGAGGTATGCTGCCTTGAATTGCCCCCAAATGAAAGTGGGATAAAAATCTAATCGATCGTAAAGTTGCAAAAAAAATCAATGCATAATTGATTACAGGTAGTTCTCGCTTAACAACCACAATAGGGACCGGAAAATTTGTCATTAAGCAGAGTGGTCATTAAGCGAGGCAGTCATTAAATGAACGGTCGTAAGTTGAGGACTACCTGTATTACTACCTCAGGAGTATCCTGGGATGATATTTTTGGTGGGTTGCATGTAAACCCCATTATTCTGCAGAGGAGGAAGGTGTGGGGGACCAAACCCTGCAATGACTTTGCTGCTGGGGGGGGAGATAGAGGAGCTCACCTGCACGGATGGCGGAGACGGGCAAGATCCGATGGCCCACAAATTTGCCCCCTTCCTCAAAAACCGCGATGCGCAGTGAGGCGAGGGTTGGCAGCACAACCTGCACAGAGAGATGAAAGAATTGCTGGAGGGAAGCACCAAGCTCTGGTTGTGCCACAGATGCTCTACACACACCGTTGTGAATTCTGAAGAACAAAACTGTAAATCGTCCTCTCAATTCTGAGTCGCTGCAG